CAGAGGTCTATAAAGTACTTGAAAAAGATAATAAAGTAAAAGTGAAATTACATGAACAGAAAATGACTTTGGTAAAAATAAATTTCACTGATGAGAAAACTACTCGAGTAAAGCAAAAAGAAAAAATGAGTAGGTCCTCTGGATGGGTTCTTCTTTAGTGAAACGTTTCGTCTCGTCCAAGAGACTTCTTCAGTCTGATGAGTTTCAGGTGAACTCAGCCTTAAAAGTACTGCCTCCACATGGTGGACAAAGAGGTCAGTCACATGCAAAAGAGGGCCATCGCTTACTCTTTCAGCGGTCACTCTTTCAGGGATGAAGATGTTTTCATCCTTGATAGAGAGGAACGTTGGTTTGAGAGAGGAGTAAAAGAAGGCATCTTTGTGAAGAAAAAAACATGCACCATTAAACAGAGGTGGAGGCCTTCATGTCCAGTTGTCCTCCTCCTACAAAGCTGTTATTGCAAGTATGACTCAGCCCCCTGTGAGCAAAAGGTGTGAATCAGGGCCCCAACGATAACCAACACAAAGAGGGAAAAAACAAAAACAAGGGGACTTTGAGCCCCGCCTGCATTCACTACGTACACATAACACGACACCTAAGAACCACAGCATTCAAACCAATAAGCCAGGTGATGGGGCACATGACCCTCTATTAACAATAGAGCTAATCAAGTCTATTGTTAGGCGATGGTCCTCTTTTGCATGTGACTGACCTCTTTGTCCACCATGTGGAGGCAGTGCTTTTAAGGCTGAGTTCACCTGAAACTCATCAGACTGAAGAAGTCTCTTGGAGGAGAGACGAAACGTTTCACTAAAGAAGAACCCGTCCAGAGGACCTACTTATTTTTTCTTTTTGATTTTTCTACCTGGATTACTGAGATGCATCAGGATACTCAATTAAAAGTCATAAAACTGTTTCCTGGGGGGAAGTAAAATAACTTTTACACACTCTCTATGAAATAAACTTTTCTATGTACTGAACCAAACTGGTTCCACTAAGCCAGGTTGAGTAAACTGAGCAGTATGTATATTCTTTGCTCAATTTACTCAATAGGCTTAGTGCAGCCAGCTGACATGACTTKGTTGAGTAAATTCAACATTTCATTTYTTAGAGTGCAGAAACATCTTCTTTCATGATGATTTCAAACAGATTTAATTTTGTAATGAGTAACTAGGTGTTACATTTTAAAGTAAAGAAGTAAAATTATCATTTTTAGCTTTAAAATGGGATGAAATAAAAGTAAAAGTAGCTATTTAAAAAATATTGGTGAAATTACAAATCCTCAAAAAAAAACTACTTAGTTACTGTTATGAAGTAAATGTACTTAGTTACTATAAACCTCTGCGTATGCGGCCGACAAATGAGCACTCATGAGGATGCGGCCCATGAATTGAGACACAACCAGTGTAAGACTAGTAGGCGATTTAAAATAGATTTGAAATTGCAAGAATATTTACAAGTTTTCTGTCAGATTATCTAAGAGTTCTAAAGTCTGATGGACAGATTTGGACAAGCATGGCTTTCAAACCTGGACCTGTGTTTTTTTTTTGTTTTTTTTTGAAGAGCAAATGCATCTAGACCAGACCCGTTCAGACCTGATTACTCGGTGTCTTCAGTGGTCACATTTATACTCCCCACATGTTGGGCAGTTTCACGTTTCCACCACCTGGTTTCATAAAGTGACCTCATTTGGTCTTACTGTTCAAGATGTTTTATGAGACATCTTCTGTGTTTTGACTGACTGTTGGCTGCTCTGGCAACTGCTTGATAACACTGTTATCTCCACTCAGGATGCCACAACTTATGTCCTTAGTTCTTGTTCTAGACGTGCCGGCTTCTTACAATTCAGATTAGTTACATCCCAATTGCTCATCATTCCTTCAGGTGCTGGTCATAAAATTAGAATATCCTGAAAATATTGGTTTATTTCAGTAATTCAATTCAAAAAGTAAAACTTTTATAATCATTTATTACACACAGACTGAAATATATAAAAAAAAATTTAATTTTGATGATTATAACCAACAACTTAACGAAATTTTTGACCAACACCTGTACTTTATTTTTCAGTGAGTGTGTTTATAGTAAACCATTGCTGTTTATTTTTATGTTAGATTACTAGTATATTGTAACAGAAATGTTTTCTGTGTTCAGGTGTGAGATGCAGTCATGACCGAGAGTTTGAAAACCCGGTTTGATTTCTCCAGCCCCATCATACAAGCCCAGGTATGCTGATTGTTCACACAGTGTTATGTTGTACATTTCTGTTTGTGGGATTTTGTCAAATATTAGCTCAGTCTCTTAGAATGTTACAAGTCTGTGTTTTATCAGAGATCATGGTTAGGGAAGCCATAAGATAATTCTGTGTGTTCCTTTAGAACTAAAAACCAGAGGGTCTACATCAGTCCTGTTAGTGTTTGATCTAACAGCTCTAATGGGACTGATGTAAGTCTGCACTGTTCTGATTGGTTTGTGAGGAGATGTAAATCAGGAGGATGAAGAGATCCAAATGATGGAAAATGTCTGGCAGTCATGTTCAAAGTCTGATTCAAAAGTCAGGAATTAGATTTGTTTGATACATTCACTCATCACCACCTAAAGCAAAAATATAAAACAGATTTTTGTTCAGAATACTGTGGAAATGTTACCATTAAACAGTTCAAATCTTCAAGGCCAAAAATGAAAAATTTCATAAGAACTCTTCAGAATCTCAGAGAGCAACGATTGAGGTAGAAATGAACAGACAATTGTTAAAACTTTGGTTAAACTGTAGAAATTAGAAGCCTTGAAATAAAATAAAAGAGTTAGTTTGGTTTCAACAAATTGATACAGTGAAAAATTATCTTTTTAAAAGAAAATATGCTGATTTTTAGCTTAA